CTGAACTAACAAATAAACACTTGGAGGAGGAGCATCATGACGTGTCATCACCCTGGAACACTATAAAGATGTGTATTGGCCAACTCACACATGCATCCTTCACAGAAAACTCTGTCAAAGTACAAGTGCCAAGATGAGTCTTTCAGCCAAGGAGAAAACTCTTGTCAAAACTTTCTTCAGCAAAGTGTCCGGAAGAGTAGATGATATTGGAAATGAGGCTCTGTCTAGGTAAATCCAATTCAATTGCTAATTTTCAATTTTAAAAGTTGTATATGTAATTTGTAAACTTAGTTGTCGCATTGTAAATTGCTATGTGCTGTGTTTAACTGTTCATCTATTAGGATTCTGTCTCATTAACCAACAAATTCTTCTCCAACAGAATGCTGACTGTCTACCCTCAAACCAAGACCTATTTTGCCCACTGGCAGGACCTGAGTCCCGGCTCTGCCCCTGTTAGGAAGCATGGGAAAACCATCATGGAAGGTGTCATGGAGGCGGTGGAGAAAATCGATAACCTCTGTGAGGGTCTTAGGAACCTGAGTCATCTGCATGCATTTGTGCTGCGAGTGGATCCTTCAAACTTCAAAGTGAGTCCCTGAAAGACTCTAAAATATTTTCATTTAAAATACAGTGTCATGAAACCTAATATGGTTGAACGTGCTCATGCGTCAACTAAGAAATCAAAACACTATGACAGTGCAAATCAATGTTAGTTATGTCTGCAAACGATGATCTAGAGAGAAGATCAATGACACTGGTTTCTCCTTACAGATTCTGTGTCACTGCCTTCTCGTGGTGCTGGCCATGACGTCACCGGAGGACTTCACCCCTGAGACTCACGTTGCTTTGGACAAATTCTTTGCCAATGTGGTTCTGGCCCTGTCTGAGAAGTACCGTTAAATTGTGATCAGATTGCCTAAGTTTGGCTAATGTTGGTTCAACATCAAAATAAAAGATTTAGAAAATGAACAATTTGAGTGAATGATTGTCCTACTCTGGAGTCCGCCAGTGGTGGCATGCTGACTCAGTGGGCATCCCTATTGCCACATACATCTGGGGCTTCGAACCCTGCAGCTACACAGTATGGGTGGTGTTTGCCTGTTCATCCAGTATTATGTGGGTCGCATCTTGCTTTTATGGACATGCACTTTGGATAACTGGTCTTTGTAAATTGCCTATTATGTATAACTGCGTATCTTTCCTGCCATGTACCAGCATATTGTCCAGGTATAAACCTGTCTGGATATCAGGCTGCAGAACCGCCCCACAACCATGACCAGGAGAGATAAATGAGCTGACTAACCTGCATTCAAATAAATGCACAATTCCCTGGTGCAGCATGTATCAGCAAACAGGATTGTAGTACAAAGGGTGTAATTATGTACACGCTGCCGAAAAGACACTAGAGCAAATATGCAAAAGTCTTGCATAAAATAAGTTGCCTCTGATGAACTCTTGGCTGTCTTCTTGAAAAAGCCAATTTAGAAGTACAACGTGGTCCCAAAAAAAAAGTACAGTGATTTTTAAAATCGATTCTCTCAGTCATTGTATTTCAAACAAACGCGTGTTTCCTGTATACTTTGTAAATTAAAATGCAAACACAGTGGTCCATGGCACAGAGGCTATATTTTACAAAATGATATGGTATATTTTATATAAATGATATGGTGACATATCCTATCTAATGGCTTTAAAGTGGAAATAAATTAAATCTTATTTAATAGTGAAATAATTATCCGATAGCCAACATTCATAATTGTTGGGCAGATGAAGGGATTTAATATTCCCGTGTATTTGTTTCTATTGAAACAGTTTGGTGTTAACAGAACAATATTTCTTCTAAAGCTTCACTTGATATCCTTTCAGTAATTTAGCTGAATACCAGGAAGCCAACCAGTAGAATATGCACTATATTGCCAAAAGTACTGGGACACCCCTCCAAATCATTGAATTCAGTGTTCCAATCACTTCCATAGCCACAGGTATATAAAATCAAGCACCTAGGCATGCAGACTGCTTCTACAAACATTTTAGAAAGAATGGGTCGCTCTCAGGAGCTCAGTGAATTCAAGCATGGTACCGTGATAGGATGCCATCTGTGCAATAAGTTAATTGTGAAATTTCCTCGCTACTAAATATTTCACGGTCAACTGTTAGTGGTATTATAACAAAGTGGAAGCAACTGGGAACAACAGCAACTCAGCCACAAAGTGGTAGGTCATGTAAAATCACAGAGTGGGGACAACGCATGCTGAGGCGCACAGTGTGCAGAAGTCACCAACTGTCTGCAGAGTCAATAGCTACAGACCTCCAAGCTTCATCTGGCCTTCACATTAGCTCAAGAACAGTGTGTAGTGAACTTCCATGACCGAGCAGCTGCACCCAAGCCTTACATCACCAAGTGCAATTCAAAGCAATGGATGCAGTGATGTAAAGCACATCTCCTCTGGACTCTAGAGCAGTGGAGATGTATTCTCTGGAGTGATGAATCACAATTCTCTGTCTGGCAATCTGATGGACGAGTTTGGGTTTGGCGGTTGTCAGTAGAATGAAACTTGCCTGAATTAATTGTGCCACGTGTAAAGTTTTATGGTGTCAGGTTGATTTTCAGGGGTTAGGCTTGGCCCCTTAGTTCCAGTGAAAGGAACTCTTAATGCTGCAGCATTCAAAGCCATTTTGGACAATTTCATACTTCCAACTTTGTGGGAACAGTTTGGGGATGTTCATGTTCCAACATGACTGCACACCAGTGCACAAAGCAAGGTCCATAAGAACATGGATGAGCAAGTCTGGTGTGGAGGAACTTGACTGGCCTGCANATGGACGAGTTTGGGTTTGGCGGTTGTCAGTAGAATGAAACTTGCCTGAATTAATTGTGCCACGTGTAAAGTTTTATGGTGTCAGGTTGATTTTCAGGGGTTAGGCTTGGCCCCTTAGTTCCAGTGAAAGGAACTCTTAATGCTGCAGCATTCAAAGCCATTTTGGACAATTTCATACTTCCAACTTTGTGGGAACAGTTTGGGGATGTTCATGTTCCAACATGACTGCACACCAGTGCACAAAGCAAGGTCCATAAGAACATGGATGAGCAAGTCTGGTGTGGAGGAACTTGACTGGCCTGCACAGACCCCTGACCACAACCCGATAGAACACATTTGGGATGAATTAGAGCAGAGACTGTGAGCCAGGCCTCCTTATCCAACATCAGTGCCTGACCTCACAAATGCTCTCCTGGAAGAATGTTCAAAAATTCCCATAAACACACTCCTAAACCTTGTGGACAGCCTTCCCAGAAGAGTTGAAGCTGTTATAGCTGCAAAGGGTGGGTTGAATATATTAAAGCCTATGTATTAAGAATGGGATGTCATTAAAGTTCATGTGTGTGTAAAGGCAGGTGTCCCAATACTTTTGGCTATATAATGTATTTTAAGATCTATTACATAATGTAATTATATAATATTTTACTATTTATGCTGCAGGAATTTTAATTTTTTGTAGTAGTTTGGAGTTATTATAAGTAGGCTATTTTAATGCCAATATGATTACATTCCTTCTAAAGATTTGTTTTTTATACCACTATACTTATGCATTGAATACAGTTTCTCATCTTTAATGTAACAAAAATATTTCAGGTTTAAAAAAAATCCACTTTTTATCCCATCTTAGTTAATCTGTGGGATGAAGAATTGCAAAGATGCTGTACTTATACACAAATTAAACGTATCCTTTAAAAAAACACTGCTAACCACAAAATCACTGTGGAAATACACCTCATCATATATTGTGTGTTTTTGACTGGCAGAAAAAAATGAATCTTTCATAGCTTTGTTTCTTGTGCTGGAATCTAAATGGTGAAGCTGACAATATAGGTGCATTTCTGGTTTTGATTATCTTGAACAAACACACACCCATCCTATCTAGATATCCAGGCTCTGTCCGCTCCTGAAGGACACTCCAGCTGACGCCGTTGCTCCGGAGATTAGCAATATCTGAGAGACACATTTTGCCTCAGCAGACTTTTCTGCAAATTTCCAATAAAATATGCTATAAACCATAAAATACAGATGACAGTTTAAACATACAATAATAAAAAATATATTAATTTAAATACTGCTTGAAAATATGAATAGGGTGAATATTGTGAGAATGGAACAACTGGCAAAATGGGACAGATACTGTATGTGTTTAGTAAGACTTTATTTTCTCTTCTATAGTGTAGAATGGGCATTAATGTATTTAGAATGGTTTCAAGTTGGGATTCAAGACATTGAGATGATTTTCACAAAAAGCAAATTTTCAGAATGTGTCCCATTTTAACAATACTTAACCTACAATTTTTTAAGTAATAAGCTTGTAGATCTAATCATAAAAAGAAACATTAAAGTATAATAGATATTAAAAGGTAAAACCCACTGAGACCATTTGTGAATGAAAATTCACCTGGAAAGAGCATTTTGAGACAGCAGAAATTGCGACAAGCGTCAATCCTCAGGCTGCATTTCCTTTTAAGGACAGTGGTGAAGCAGGCACGATGTGATGGCTTTACATTGAATATTAAAAGTATTATTAAAAATAAAAATAACTACATCCTTAAGATTGTTGTCTCCATGTTTCCCAGTAAAACTACTCAGTGATTAAAATACGTTTCCTATTTTGCAGATCTACACGGATAAAGATTTATTATTATTGTTGTTGTCGTTAGTTGATATTGATTTCACATTGTACTTATACTGTTTTTGCGCGTGTTTCCGTGTCCCCGCCGTGTGCGCGCCCGAGAAACAGGCAGCCAGCCGCCGTTTGCGCGTACACGTGTAGTCCTGTCAGACAGACTCAAGTTCTTGAAACTCAACCACTGAAAGCATTCAGCCAATCGCAACCATTTTGCTTTGGGTGGGGTTAGTACCTATATTAAGAGGCTGCAGAACTTAGTTAGCCAGCACAGAATTCTTAAATACGCAACGTAAAGTTAAACAGGTCTAAAGCTCTTTAGAATTGCCAACATGGTTCAGTGGACTGATGCTGAGCGCGCCGCCATCGCTGATATCTTCGGAAAAATCGACCGCGATGTAGTTGGACCAAACGCACTTGCCAGGTAACTCAGCTTTTCTGTGTAATTGGCTTACACTATTAACTTAATTCGTATAACACTGATGAATTTACACAGGGGCAGTCTTACCAAAATGTCCAATTTACTGAAAATATTTGTTTTGCTAAATGCATCTTATTTTTTCCAGGTGCCTTATCGTGTACCCCTGGACCCGGAGATATTTCGGTGGCTTTGGGAACTTGTACAGCGCCGATGCCATCCTGGCGAACCCCAAGGTCGCTGCCCACGGAAAGGTTGTGTTTGGCGGGCTGGAGAAGGCTGTGAAGAACTTGGATGACATCAAGAAAACCTTCGCCCCGCTGAGCGAGCTGCATTCAGAGAAGCTGAACGTGGATCCCGATAACTTCAGAGTGAGTGTCGTTCACTGAGGCTGAAGTGTAATAAGAATGAATCCTTTATTATGTAAACTGCTCTTCTAGAGATATTGCAGCATCTCAAACCATAAATATACTCTTGTCATTTTCTGAGAAATGTTTTGTGTTAATCTTTTATATATCCCAAATATGTGTCATTTAATAGTTTTAATAAGTTTAATTAATAGTTTAATAGTTGTAGTTTCATTGAAATGATTAGAGGTGTTTTCCTATCAGCCATAAATATAATTTTGCCATTTGCTGAAAAAGGCATTTCCTGTCAATATGTTTAATTCCCCAAATATGACTGTAATTCAATAGTTTGGGTTTCACTTAGATAATTAGAGGTGTTTTCCTATAAGATTCCCAGTGTGTTAACGCATTTCTCCTGGACTTTCTCTCTCTCCACAGTTGCTGGCTGACTGCCTCACCCTTGTCATTGCTGGGCAGATGCGCGCTGCGTTCACACCGGAAGTTCAGGCAGCGTGGCAGAAGTTTCTTGCTGTTGTTGTTTCTGCTCTCTGCAGGCAGTATTACTAAATTCTTTTTATGTAAATGGACAAAACATAAAAAACGTTTCCTTTTTAATAAAAGTCAAATGAACCGCAACTGTTGTGAATGTGTGATCGTTCCATTCCCCATAATGACTCCCTGCTGTGCTCACATGCCGAATCAACAGGCAGGAAAGTGGAGATCGCTTAATTCGTGTTTTATTAGAAAACGCAGGATAAGACCAACAGCAACATGGGGTAACATTACAAAAGCTCACATTCTCAAAATACATGCATCACATGATGAACAGCACCAGTCAGATATTATTAACTCAGACTACTACAGTATCCATGATTTGTATTTCACTTTGAGGTTTTATGCCAAGCCTAGGCAAATATTGTCTGTGTGGGGGGAAATCTGAGCTTCACCAAGTAAGCAAGGGCCATTTTTAATTATATTTATGTCCTACACTCTGAATCAAATGTTCTTTTTTGTAGAGGCTTATTTTTGCGTACTGGTATAGAAGTATTGTATTTGCAATTATTCAAGGAATATGAACAGAGAACTCTTTTTTCATCTCATTTCCATTTATAAGTTTGGCGTTCATATGAATGAAACTGTACCCTTAACAATGTTAGTCTTGTTTTAAATCAGCAGTATGAGCCGACAACAGCAATAAGAGACAGCTAAGAGAGGCTCAGACCAACCCTATAAAAAAATGTCTATGTCAGGAAATGCATCGGAGCGTTAAGAGACAACTTAAGGTAGAACTTATAAATTATGTAACATTAAGAAGGTTTCGGGAAACTGGGCCCAAATCAGTTTTAAACAGTTTAATCAGATGTGCACTATTAGGAGAAATTCAGAAGGTATTTAAAGCATCCTTTAAAAAAACCTTCAGTGAGTTGTCAGTGAGAGTCAGTGAGCACCCCCTCCCCTTTAAAAAACCTTCAGTAAGGTGTCAGTGAGAGTCAATGAGCACCCCCTCCCCTTTAAAAAACCTTCAGTGAGTTGTCAGTGAGAGTCAATGAGCACCCCCTCCCCTTTAAAAAACCTTCAGTGAGTTGTCAGTGAGAGTCAGTGAGCACCCCCTCCCCTTTAAAAAACCTTCAGTGAGTTGTCAGTGAGAGCCGGNCCTCCCCTTTAAAAAACCTTCAGTGAGTTGTCAGTGAGAGCCGGTGAGCCCCCCCTCCCCTTTAAAAAACCTTCAGTGAGTTGTCAGTGAGAGTCAGTGAGCACCCCCTCCCCTTTAAAAAACCTTCAGTAAGGTGTCAGTGAGAGTCAGTGAGCACCCCCTCCCCTTTAAAAAACCTTCAGTAAGGTGTCAGTGAGAGCCGGTGAGCGTCCCCCCCAGGCTGTATCCTGGGAGAGCGTATGCATCAATCCCTGGAGCTCCAGTGCACTTTTTCCCATCAAGGACATTCTTATTTGGCATGTTGCCAAAACCAATTCTGATTTCTGCTATGATTATTAATTATTGCTGCTTCTGTTGTGTAACACTGTCAATCTTGTCACTGGAATGCTGTGATCAGATCACTGGTTCATATTCCCAAAGTGGCTAAATGGTTTCACTGTAGATCAAGACCCTTAACTCCCAGCTGCTCCATGGACTGTCTGACCCTGCATTCCCTGCCAAGCAGGATGCTGCTTACACGCAAGGGTCTGCTAAATAAATGTAATACAAATTATTTTAAAATATTGCATGACCAAGGCGAAAAATATGGACAAAAGCATATGATTAAGCGGTAACGTTATCCAGAACTTTGCAGTGTTTCCGAGAAATCACATTTGATGATTGCCTGGTCCTCAGAGGGCTAGAGGATGCTCAATGAACTGCTGAGACACGGTAGGTGTGCAGAACAGGCATCTATAGAGCTTATATATGGATCAATCAATCAACCAATCAATCAGACTTTATATGGCATTTTTCATACAGACATTCGAGGGATCAAAAACACAATGGCTCCTATGTGAAAATGGCTGTCTGTCTCAGGGGATTGACTGGATGATGACTGGCTGGATGGAGTGGCAGACATTAACGTGGGACAAGTGGAGCGAATCAACAGTAACAATCCAGATTTCCCAACTGGAGATGATGACACCTTCCAACAAAATAAATGTAAAAATCGCAACATTTCTTAAATATGTTCCGTTGTGTAACTGCATTGCATTTCTTCACGATCATCCAATCATTTTTCCTCTCTACGTTCACTACTTTCTGTTTTGCCCAGCAGGTGGCGTTGTGACATTGGGGAGTGAAATGTATTACTAATTTATCCATATAAAACTGATAGGCCTGTTGGTATGTTAGGCCTATTGCGTGCACTTTCTTCATTAATCACTTTTATAAACGATATAGCCTGTAAATTGTGGTTGATACGAACATTACGCGCAGAATAAACGCCAAGTTTAAATGATATTATTTTCATCATCATTTTACAAACGCTAAGAAAAAATACATTTCTGAATGTGTTTTTGATGTAGCCTACAACAAACATCTAAACGAAAATGGCAAACAGTAAAATAATACGTATATGTGTCGAGTAGTCTAATTATTAATATTAATACTTACATAATTTACATAACGTTTTCTGCCTGTTCTACTCTATTCATGTTGATTAACATCTTACAGGAAAATGAGAAACAGGCAGATTCGTAACAATACACACATGTTCTGCAGAAATCATCAAGTGTTTTTAGATCATCAGCAGTTTTTGTGGACTTCAGAAGATAGACTTTGCTTTGGCAACATATCTTAACTGTGGATCAAACTGAACGTTAATCTTAAAAAAAACCTATAATTTCTTTGCGCTTTGTCAAGAACACAGTCGTACAGCTTGCAGCTGTTATTGAAGAACTGTCCAATTAGAGGCAAGGTCCCCAGGGGGGCGGACTGAAATTTTCAATGTCGACTAACAAATATCCTCAAAAAAGAAAGAAATTTCCACTTTCTCTTACAAATACCGGAAAACTGCTCTCAGCATGGTTGAATGGACGGAGGCCGAGCGTCGCGCTATCGAAAGTGTTTGGGAGAAAATCGATGTAAATGTCATTGGTCCACAGGCTTTAGAAAGGTACTTAGATTATATTACACAAAAACATGTACTTGTTTTCCCGTCGGTATTGCTACTGAATGCTACAGGTGCCGATAACTCTGCTATTTATTTTAAGAGAATATAATTTTGTATAATTTCAAATGATATTTTTTTTGTGCTTGTTTTGACTCGGACCTCTGCAGTTTTTATTCATTTGAAAAATGACGTATGGAGTTTTACATAGTAATGTACTTCCCCGATTACAGTGTTCTGATTGTCTACCCTTGGACTCAGCGGTATTTTGGCGTTTTCGGAAATTTATCAAGTGTGTCAGCGATCACGGGCAACCCCAAGGTGGCCGCCCACGGAAAGACCGTCCTCAAGGCATTAGGCTCAGGTGTGAAGAATCTGGACGACATCAAAAGCACTTATGCTAAACTCAGCGAACTCCACTCTGAGAAACTTAATGTTGATCCTGACAACTTTAGGGTAGGTGCAAACAGATTATCTACATTTTTCCTCTATTAAAACGATTGCTAAAACTTTCGATAAACTTCACTAACGTATTATTAATTATGAGTCAATATTATTGGTCTATGCGATGCTGAAGGCCGATTTTATTAAACGTAAGAATAATTGTACAAGGAAAATACTGATACCATTGCTATAGCCTATTTTTGCCTGAGTCCAAAATGCTAATAATTATTTTATTTTCTTTTATTGGAAGCTACTAGCAGACTGCATCACCATCGTAATTTCTACCAAATTAGCTGCCGCCTTCTCTCCCGATGTCCAAGCCGCCTGGCAGAAGTTCCTGGATGTCGTGGTCTCCGCTCTTAGCAGGGAATACCATTAGAATATTACTATTTGTGGCAAATTATCGCTGTGTTTAATCGCAAAAATGAACTTATTGATATCTGCCAACAGCTGTATGTTCATTCACATAAAAATAAACTGCAATGTATTTTGTCATGGGCGGACGGATAACTCGGGTCAGTTTTTTTTTTCGCTCCCAAGTTTGCTCTCACCTATGGAGAGCAAACTGGGGGAGGTGAAAAGAGAATTTCCCCGCGGGGATCAATAAAATATAATCATCATCATCATCAAATAATAATTTGTCCCTCATACTGTGCGATAGGCTGGGATTCCTTGCCATCTCATTGCAGGACACACTTTGTTTTGGGCTACATTCAAACCCATTTAAACACGGGAAAAACAGAGAAATTACACACACACAGTCCAACGGTAAGATCTGAACCCTCACCACTATAGGAGTATGAGGTTACCATGCTATCCACTGAATGGTCTGACAGTAATACATCTGACACATTATATATATATTACTATTTATCACAGCAGAATTAATGGTTAGGGATGCGCACTTGAAATTGAAAGATTGCTGGTTCGAACCCCCGACCAGCAAGGCACAACTGAGGTACCCTGAGCGAGGTACCGCCCCCAAGCACTGCTCCCCGGGCGCTGAATTAGCTGCCCCCTGCTATGTCAAATATGGGTTAAATGCAGAGAACACATTTTGTTGTTGTGTGCTGTGGTGTGTCAACAATGACAATTAATCACTAAATTCTAATTATTTGATAGTCCATAAACAAACATCACAAAATAATTTTATATTTTACTTTAGTTATTGACAAATGCTTTTGAGATTTATTATTATGAATGGAATTCAGAGTGTCAGTACATATTAAGTGTTGCAGCTGGCTTTGAGAATTTATCTTTTGCAACACAAATAATTTTTGGCAGTAACGTGTGTATATGTACAAAAATGGCACAAAAACTATGTAATAGGCGGATATGAATTTCAATTTTTTTATTCACAAATTCACGGGGTCGACTCACATGAAACATAAATTCACAGATATGCTTGAAACAATTTTATACAAAGCATGTATATTTGTACAGTGCAAATTCAGTGTTCAGGTTGCTATAAGACTTCTTATCTGTATTTCTCAGCGAGCACAGCTGAGAACGCCGAGAGGAACTTATCTAGGGCAGCATGTGTTACGGGCGTGAACTCATCAGCCATCCGGTTGGCCAGTGTGACGAGGATACAGTGAGACAAGAGCTGGAAGAGAAATTAATATGGATGCTCTTCGTCATTCACAAACATTATAATGCATTTGTATAGGTAATCTTCAATTCCATTCAAGACAAAATCCCGAAAGCATAAAATCGATTAAATTCAGCTACACTGATCGAAGCCATTAACATATCAAACCTATAGAATGCTTTGCGAGTCAGATATTTTACTATAATAGAGAAGAAACAGCAGTACAATGGTAGTCTGCCAGAAATGTACAGATGTAATTAATTTTTCCAGTAGCTTGCTGTGTTACAAAACACAGCTAAATGCAGTACGAAACCAACTGTAAATTTACGGCCATTGATTACAGTGCAACCTTCAAATATTACACAGAGAAGTAAATTAGGAATGGTGTGGAGTATATGCCAATTTGTGCATTAAGCATTTGCGTATCAAACATGTGCAGCTTCAAGGGACGGATAACAAAAACGGTGCCACCTGTGAAAAAGGACAAGCTTCACGTGCAAATAAAAAGACATATTTTATCAGACATAAGAAGAGACAAAGGAGGTCAGTGCTTTGGGATGAGGTACCTTGAAATTAGTGGGGTGTATTCTTAGCTGGTAGGCGTGCAGCACGCTGAGGGGAGCCAGGGTGGTGGTCAGACTGCTGATGTTCTTAGCCCCTTCTGCTATCGCCAGTATGATCTTCTTACCATGGGAACGGAGATGTGCAGACCCAGGACCGATGTCTAAGTGGGCGAAATACGTCTTGGTTTTCGGAAAGCAAGTGAACATTCTAAAGATAAATTAAATAGAAAACAAGGGGTTATATAAGTGTGTAAACATACGGTCACTCCAGCTAAATATTAGACTGGCACTTTGAGAAAGGACAGGGAAAAATTAAGTTAACTAATGATTAAGCACTATTTTCATAACTATTGTTCTCTTTAGCCAGATTAGAGCCCACATTTACCAGGAAACAAGTACACCTACAGACTTTTGCAGCTTTTTGTCCCTTACTAAAGTATTACTAATCTGCAAAATATACATACTGACTAAACATATTCAGTAACCTTTTTTCTTATTTTAAACATTAGGAGTAGTAAACAAGGCATCAACACACAGACTCCTTTTCCTTAAAATATTTTTCTTCTAAATATCTAGTCCAAATATCTTTCTTCTAAAAGGAATTTGTGGTATTTTTTGCTGAAACAGGCCTAATGAACTGATTGCTTTTAAGTACAGTATAAACAGTAAGTTGTACGTACCATAAGACACCAAATAAACACGAAGAAAAAAGTCAACCTACCTTAAAAGGGATTCAGCACCAATGTCTTCAGCATATACGGACGCCTTTCCCCAAATAATTACAAGAAGCTCTTTTTCGTATTTGGAGAGCATTGCTACGTTGCACTCCGATGAATTTCACGTTTTTTCTTCCTCTTCTGTTTGTCCGAGTTTATCCGTTTACTCTTGGAACCAGTGACAGAAATACAACAAGTTAATAAATAATATTGCTTAAAAATGTATCACCTCAAAATTCAGTCAACGTTAAATTGCATTAGCTGTGTTCAAGAATTAATTAGTTAAGTGTTTTGCATATATCTGTTATTTTAAAACAAAATACCACCACATAACCCAAGCATGACAGCGGTATTCTTCTGCGTCATTTGCACTATTGGGTTTTCAGACGGTTCAGACCAATCAGGCGCTGAAGACAAAAAACTGCAAATGCGCAGGTTCATCGACACCTTTCCGAACAATTATTCGGACGAATGGGTTCGTCAGTTTGTTATTGAAAAGTTAATGGCAGGTACGGGCTAAACAAAATAACAGAATGATTTTTTGGAGAATAAATTGTTTTTGGAGGTAAATGGTTTTGTCTTAACCTCAGGTGCCGCTTATGCTGCAAACTTAATTATCATAAACTGTTTTTAAACATCATACTAGTAGCTATCGATAAATTGTGACTACGTCATATACCAAAACATTAAAACGAAATTAAATAAATCTGCTACAAGAGCACCAAATGACTTATTTTAGAAGAGAGGAAAAAATCTTGACAAGTATTTCGTAAACTTTACCGGTTCGCACCGTCACAAAAAAGCACCCATCACCCATATCACGTGAAACTAAAAGGTTTAAGAGAAGTATACCTTTAAATAGCCTATCTGGTAAATAATTTTAGGAAAAGAATCAAACATATTGCGAAAAAAAGTATGGATTTTATAAACTACAGTTTTATTTGTCTTTTATCAAACCGACAGACATCTACAGCCCTCGCCTGTCTCCCTTACTAAAACAAACTTTACATTGATCGACATCGGAGAGAGCTTGTGCCTTGTGTAGTTTCATTTTATCGCTTAATCTTAACATATAATTAATACTTTTAATGTATCCATCCTAATAAAAATATAAATAAACCTTTACAAAGTTTGGCCATACAAGGTTTCGATTCCTGCCCAGTTTCCGCCCAGTCCTGTTACGGGTTTCCTTGAGGTGCTCACTACTATCCCATTTTGAGGCCCTAAAAAAATTGCCTAACAGAGATGTCATTTGTTATCATGCATCCGATTCTGTCATCTCTCCGGTGGTAGTTGGTTCCTAAGCAACCGCCTAGTTCTCTCATTCCTTTGGTTGGCCACAAGACACGCAGGATCCTTCTATCGGTGTCTATAAAACTGTCATTTTTCCATCTGTTCTCCGTGCCCTGTGATGGACTCAAGACACGCAGGATCCTTCTATCGGTGTCTATAAAACTGTCATTTTTCCATCTGTTCTCCGTGCCCTGTGATGGACTTCCATTTTGCACAGGGTGCAGCCGTGACCTTCACTTCCCCTAATAGGTTCTGCTCTGGATAAGTGTTCGTGGATAATGTAATTATGCAAATAAAATGTTGCTGAAGCGTGAACTCCTCACTAATTGTTTAGTCGCAATGATTAACTGGGAGGCAGTAACATTCTCATATTCCCATCCAACTTCAAATGTCGTTTAAAACGCGAACATGGCTCTCGTGCACCATCTAGTGGAGGAATCTTTTGCTACAGTCAAAGGGTAAAATCATGTTAAACGTTTTAATACAGTCATTAAATTATCAGTAGCCACCAAGAGAGCACGTGGGGTACTTTTTTACTGTGTGAAAAGTGCGTGTGTGTTTACATACAGTACTGCTGTATAATTACTCTTAATTAAAGTTGATTTTGTGAAAAACAATGATTGTCAAAGAATTTAATGTAGTTTATTTACAGAGTCCATGGCTCTTGGTCAGTTAATTCTTGCGTGCAACACACTCTTTCGTATGTAATAGATATTTGAATTAAAAGCAATAGTGTCGTAAAAATGATAAACTACAGTGGCAAGAAAATAACAATCCAATCATGTGTATCAGTTAAAACAGATTCTGTTCATTCAATATTTGTAACTTAGATGAAGATCAGATCACATTTTATGATCAAATAATGCAGGGTTCACATATTTATCCTTGCTGCTGCATAACAATGTAGGTTAGATGCTACTATGTTAACGTACTATAGGTTTAATGAATGGCATTCATAATGCATTTACATTGATTATTAGTATTTTTTGGCTCCTTTTTAATTAAACACGAACAGAAATCAAAGGGAATCAAAGCACAGGTTCAGAGTCACTGAGGCGGGCCTCAGCTTTGGTCTGAATGGGCCCTTGTATGTACAGGCATTTATAGCTGTGGGAGCCTCACCATTCAGAGAAAGCAATAAGCTGGTTAAATGAACACTATCAATCATTTTGTGCCTAGTGGCTGTGGATATACTAAAAAGGGCAAGTTTTACTAAGCGGTTCAACTTTACAGAGGTGGCTGACTCAGTAAGGGCCGCTGGGTTTGATTTCAACTCTTCACCCATCAGTTGTGTCGGTATTGATACACTGCACCATATGTTTTCCCAAAGCTTCAGTTTTCGAAAATGGAGAAGGCCACCCAAAACCCCTAAACAGTACACCTTTCTATCGTAGGGATCAGATTACCAGAGAGAACTTTCAGGTGCATAGTGAGAAGCCATCATATTCACACTGAGCTGGGGTCAGATTAACACCTACAGCGGAACTGTTATGGATCACCATGGTACCTGTTTATTAACGTATCAAGTCTATGAGCTCTATTGTCCTACTGTCCATATATAAGCTCACTTGACTTCACTTGAAATGTTAAAAAATTTCCCTTATACACTATAAAAAAGTTAAGACAACTTAAAATTTCAAGGCAACTTACTGCACTAGATTTTTGAGTTTTGAGGGCAACTTAAACTTCTAAGTTTTTAAGAAAACCACAAATTGTTATGCAGAGTAATCATTTTTCATTCTGATAATTTATCTTTCTTATGTATAAAAACTTCACATTTTTAGTATTACATATTAAGAATTCATAACAAAAGTTTTTCCAACCTATTGTCTTTTCTTAAAATTTATCTTTCATATGTGTAAAAACTTTAAAATTTGAGTTTAGCATACTATGGCATCAGCCTTTGCAGTGCCCAGGGATACAAAAACAGAGCCCAAAGACGAGCTTGGGTGGGCTGGGCTTGAACTGGCAGTCTTGGGGTCAGAGGCACAGAGGTTTAACCCACTGAACTACATGCTGCCCACTGCAGACTCAGATGCTGCCAAAACTCTGAACAGTTATACAACTGTAAACAGTGTTTTTATGTTAGTACCTTATTCAGCTTATGTCCCATGCATCTGAGCATGTGGCTCTGTGAGTTAAGCCTCACTGCTCACAGACGGAAGGTCACCAATTTAAGCCCAGCATCAGCACATGTGGGGGCCCTTGAGCAAGACCTGTGACCCCCCCCAGCTCCCTATAGGCACCCCAACAGGCAGCTGCCCTTCACAGTCGAGTTTCCTGTCACTCCCCCCAGGGATCCTCAAAATGCATCAGCAGTTATTTATTACTACCATGTTTAAAATAAACATGCTAACTGAACTGTTTTGTTATCTTCATTTATAATAATTAGTTGGCACGTATTTTGCAGTTTTGAATTCTTAGCATGTTTTACTCAAATTTTAAAGTTTTTCCGCATATGAAAGATAAATCATCTGAGCAAAAGAGAATAAGAAGGCAGAACTTTGTTCTGTTGTGTTTGTTGTTTGTAATTCTTAGTATGTAAAACCAAAAATCTGAAGTTTTTATTATGAAAGATAGATCACCTGAATAAAAAATAATTAGTTGTCACAACAATAGGTGATTTTCTTCAAAACTTTAAGGTTCGAGTCCTCAAAACTCAAAAATCTAGTGCAGTAATTTCCCTTGAAAGTTTAGGTTGTATTAACTTTTTCTTTTTTTACAGTGTAGAAACACGTAAGCAGTGAACATAGACAAAAATAACAGAAACAAATTTGCCCAGAAAATGGGTGAACATTGCTTTTGACGAATGTCACATGCAGCTATCGTGTGATTTGTGCCAAGCGGCCGATCATCTTCAGCATTAGTCAACAGTCTGAATCTCCCTAATGTGAGAACAGGTCTTGTGCACTTTCATGACTGCGGTTTAGTTAAATATGTACAGGATGTTTGACCTTTTCCCCACAGACCTGACTGGGATAAAGAAATGGACGTTTTTGTAGTGCTTTTCAAAGAGCATTTTTTGGCCCAAAATGTCCATTACAATTAGACAGAACTTCAACCTCCTGAATTATTACATATTATTACTTTATAAAATTCCTTTTTAAAATTCTGCTACATTTAAGGTTATGTTTTGTATAGAAGTCTCTAGTAATCTGTTAACAGAGTTAACATGGAGGATTCCAGTAGGATAATGAAACATAAAAGTGAGCAGTGATGTGCCTCTGGGTTGTGTTGTGGCAGAGCCCACCATTTCCCAGAAAGGGAGTGGGCGGCGAGGGGCATGCGATAAAGCCCCCCCCCCGGCACGTCCTATCATCCGCACGGGCCGCCCGGTCCTCCGCAGGCAGCGGTGCGCAGTACACACTAATCACCCCGTCCAGCGATGTCATGCCCTTCCCTGTGGCCCGGAGCCCCATGACTCAGCAGGTTTGAGAACTGTGTCGGGATCTTTGGCATGATGCTGCGAAACACTGATACTGGGAAGGGAGGGTCTCAGAATGCTGACGTTAGACCTTTAGCCCTCTGTGCCCCAACCCCCCTGCAAATTCCCCCCCTTCTCTTTACAGGACGTTACAATAAAGTAAAGCAAGTTTACGTCCATTTGTATTATTCTGATGTAACGTTACGTTTTGCTATTATTATCAATACTTTAAAAATAACTAGAAGAAGAATATACTGTATGACATTTAAATTAAATTCAAAATATTGTCTGTTTTACTATGCATTTTGTAAAAATTAATGACTATTTTTATAACTGTTTGACAGTAATTAGCTAAATTAATCTTTTACCCACAGTTATTTACAGAGTAACAGAAATGTAACTGGATCATAATTAATGGTGTAATATTACATACGTTTCCTGCCTGTAGTTTTTATATGTGTAGCTTTATTGATTAAACAGAAATCCACCGCTTTTTCTCATTATGCTATACTAAAAGCATTTCTGTAAAGCCAATGAACATGCCCCACATTGATGTGTGTGGCATCCTTGTAGTCCTGTGTATCTCACTTGGATTTTGAGGTCGCACTTGCCAAATACTGAATTTATTAATAAAGAAGGATTGCTCTAAGCTCTGTTAATGAATACATTTTGTTGATCTGCTGAACTCCTATCTTAATTCAAATGTGTGCTCATCGCTTGTAAAACAAGCCGAAAATGATAAGGACAGTGAATTACGCCTCCCCGCTTCCGTCTCCAGGAGTGGGGGTTAGTATATGACCAGTGCCAAGATGAAATTGAGGAAGCATTCCTTTTTTAAAATTAATAGAAAGTATAATGATTGAATAAAAATAATTGTGAAGGAATCTGCTGCTGTACAATCATGCAGTGTATGTAGACTCTGTGACCTTTTTAAAATGTTTCACGTATTTGATCTTCTAAGTTGAGCTTTTCCTTCAGCTAGACCAATTAGTGTCTCAGAATATCACTTTTAACCATTCAAAGTCTTCTTAAACGTTGCATTAAGACTTGGCTTGGATTTCAGTCTTCAGTCATTTAAATTGGAATATTAAGTTTAAATCTTCAAACTTTCTCCTGGACAAGGAAATAATGAACAGAGAGAGATCATGCCATTCAACCAGAGAGTGAGATCATGCCACTCAACCAGAAAGAGAGATCATGCCACTTTACCAGAGAGAGATTGTGCGAAGTAAAGTACTTTACTGGAAAAGATACAAATTCATCTGACCACAAGGCAGGTGGACGCTCAGAGTGGAATGCAATGGGGCCAGGCTCTCTGTATTTGATTCAATTCCAATTCAATTATTGTTTATACTGTATTCCTCCTTTCATAACACAGTTGCCCCAAGGCACTTGAGAGTGAATCATCATCCATTATTAGTTCATGTATGCCAAACAATCCAGGTACAGGGATGAAGCAAATAGAGAAGAAATGCTGGCAGACAAGAGGAAAGGAACTGAAAACTCCGTAGTAAAACCTCTGGGGATCCAAGATCGACTGGCTGCCCAACCCCCCCCCCTGCACAGATAGATGCTAACAGATAGAACACAAGGAAAATGATGATGCTTTAATAACAGCGTGGCGTAAACTGTGGTCACAGTCAAAGTCCATCAATGAGCTAATTCTCCATGCATGTAAGCCTGCAGAGTGTAGGTCACTATCACAGTGTCACACATCATAAGTCGCTTCCACGACGTCAGCTTCCATGGCACCTATGAGTCTGCATGCAGTATTCCAAATCTGAGCAGTGACATTAACGGTGAGGTGCTGTTATTAGATACTCGAACACATATCCGGTAGTTAAATATGAGCTAAACCACAGAAGAGTCGTTACCCACAAGTCGTCATCAAAGCCCAGCCTATGTAACAGAATAGATGGTCAACTGTGCTGAAAGCGGCACTCAGATCGAGGCACCTGTACGTCGTCACATCAGCTGCTATTTCTATATAATTTACGATTCTAATTAAAGCCGTTTCAGTGCTGTGTCCTTCATGGAAGCCAGACTGAAATTTGTCGAGTTATTTGTGTCCACAACTAAAGTTGAGCCGTGACTATTTTCTCTAGAATTGGATGTTGGAGAGGGGTCTGCAATAGCTGAGTACCTTTGGATCCAAGTTTGGTTTTTTCCATGAGGTGTCTAAGAAGTGGTACTTTAAATTGGTTGGGTGTAGCACCTGAAAGCAGGGATCTATTCAGTGTGCCAGTTACAGGCCCTGCCAGAAGTCTGAGGGATTCCTTAGGAAGCTGAGTGGGGGATTGGACCTAGAGGACAAGTGGTCGGTTTCGTTTTTGTTATTAGTGTTTTTAACTCTTGTTCGTAGACTAAATCGTAGACATTAAGAAAGTATGAATATTATGTTTGCGTCAGACTTATTTGTCGGCTATTTGAATGTGTTTGAAGTCTGATGTTGATAATTTTATTGTTAAAGAAATCCGTGAAATATTCATTCCTAATATTAGTTGGTAGTGCAGGTTCAGCCTTATTTGATAGATAAGCCATTATCTTAAATAGGTAGTGGGAGTTATTTTTGTTGCAATGGATAAAGTTAGAGTAATAGGTTGAACGAGCCCTATATTGGGCTTTCTGAAATTGATGCAGGCTGTCAGACCATGCCAACCTGAACACTTCTAACCCCTTAGACTTCCATTTGCCCTCTAATATGTGGCACTACTGTTTACATGGCGACGTGTGATCTTTAAATCATGGGATCATGGGGAGATCTCATCCAGAACCCAACTAACCACTGTATTAAAATATCTTTATAAACATTTCTACTAGATATAAAGTTTCATTATTTATGACATTCATAAATTGTAGAGAATGAATCCTATTTAGGACCCCACGTCCCACAATAATTTTTTCCATAGCAATGCTTCAAATGTTTTAGTCCTTTGGTTCATGTGTTAGAAATGGCTGACAAACTTCTACAGACTCCAAATCATAGTGTGATACCACCTTAAACATGATTTAAACATTATTTCCTTGGGGTGCTTAAGATTTTTGCACAGTACTGTATATACTGTATACAGTATATGTCAGTTAGGATATGCTATTACATCATATTACAGCGTTGCTGCCTCTAGTGGATCCGGCAGCTTATTGTTGCTGTATGGTTTTGTCTTGCAGATTTCACTGCCCACGACCACTATGGGCTGACTCATCAGCATGAGCTTATATTATTATAGTATATTATTATACAGACAGAGTCTGACTCAAATATACAGAGGTAAGGGGCAGTACTAAACATGTCATATTTAATACAGCTGGGACTAACAGAAGGCCATTCGTGGGCGGACAGTATCACTAAGTTATTGTGTTTTTTCTGCAACAGCCACAAAATGATACCTAGCTATATTTAAATGCTAGCTATTCGGTGCTATATATAGATGGCGTTTCTATAGCAACAGAAAACAAACACCCCTGCCAGTAGATGGGAGTCATTAATACTAGAGGGTGGCTAAGGTCACGTCTGCTATTGCAAAGATACCAAAATAAAGGCATCGGCCCTTACATCTTTATTAATATCTCAGAACTGGCGCAGTACTGCAGAGCAAAATCTTACTGACTTATTAATAGCCTTGTTTGTTTGTTTTCTTTTTTCATTTCCTGTCTTCATGCTTGTTACGTGAACTCTTCCTCAGCTCCTGTTGTCTTTCCATATTAAATGCTTTGCTTTTTTTTGGGGGGGGGGGGGGCTGTTACAACAGATTAAAAAATGTTGGCAGGTGGGGGAACTGCAAACGGAACCACCATGACTCTCAAAATGCAATTCCATAAGCAATACTGCATATGCATATAGTAAATACTTCTGCATGCACCTTAATTTGTGTCACTTATGTCCTTATTAGCCCGTAAGTTTAATAGAATTTTATTTTTTATTGACATGTAACTGCAGATAACCCTAGAAATTGAAAAATTGTATAATAATAACATCTATTTATTATTTTGACAGTTTGTTTTGGCATGAGGATTTCAGGTTATTACTGTGAACGGCGTGTGCATTACAAACTATGAACCCGTCCATCTGCAAAACAGTGTCTAACACCAAGTGAAAACCCAGAAGGGCTTTTGGTTCACAAAATGAAAGAGGAAGATTTGAAGAATGTCAGATTCATTTTGGAGAATTTTGGGTTCTGTCTATTTCCGCATTTTTCATTATTCAGAATTACTCTGCTCTTCAGCTAAGCTGACACTACTTAATTTTTGTCATACTTTTAAAGCATAAACTCAGCAGATAACTTTATAAGTGCTGATAAATGTTAAGATGGGCAGTTCTGGGTGGCGTTCGGCATCACTGGGCAGACCGCTGCTGACCCATTCAGGACAGGAGGTCTCCTAAGAGACATTATCCCCATCTTGTCTGCTCTGTAGCTGACAGGTCCAGTTCTCCATTGGTGACAGCAATAGATGAGTTTAGAGGAGGTCCTGAAGGTTCTCTATTACGCTCTGACCCCTCCCAGGAGGTCGTTCGAGCAGATGATTGAAGTGTTATGCTTGCAGCAAACTGCCTCAGCATCTCCTTTATCTTCATGGACACTCAAGCCCAAAATTCTGAAAGTATTCAAAATGTATTCAGCCTCCTGTAAGAAGAGGATTGTGTTGAAGTGCACAACGGCCATAGCAGGCATGCCTGGGATCTCTAGCCACCCATTCGTCTTCTTAACCTGATGTGTCTGTACTGCTGAGTCACCAGTGAGGAACGTGCTGGATTTTCCCTTCTCCTGTCTGTTGCTTTTCTGCATGCCAGGTCACATCTAATTGTACAGAAAGTCAGCCGTGACTGGTGAGTTTCTTTAATCCCACCCCACAGCGACGATCGAGCCCTTAATGAAATCTCTCCATCTGGGGCACACAGAGCAGCCTCACTCACGTTCCTCGTCATGCGGCGTCAAACATCACGCAACCTGACTGAAATTCACGAGAGCAGTTGCAGTAGACTTCACGGCAGCAGCATGTTTGGAAGACAAGCAGTTCCTGTGTGTGTTTGCGTGTGTGTTTCCATGTGCTGATATGGAAACTCCGTGATGATAATAACCCAGGAGATCCGACCGTGGGGAATGAGGATAAACAGGTAACCAGATGAAATTACCTCTAGAGGGTGTGTCAAAACTTGTCCCTATCAGTTCCTGTTACAGCTCTGGCCTTTCCCAAAAAAAAACACCCACCTGCATGGAAATGCATTCGACATTTCAGTCCTCATATGTCTCATATGCAAACATACAGTACATTGACAGCCTTCAAACCTTGTGAATCACAGGAACAACAGTGCTTTTAAACTGCATAACGTAAGGTGCTCACTCAGTAGCACTAAGACGTTCTACTTGAGCATTTCCAATTAGGGAGTACACACTATTCCCTGAAGTGATTTATCATGCTGCAAAATATAACTACACTGAAGAACAACAAGCAAAGATGGTTATTCCAGATCAAATGGCAAGCAACTTGCATCCTACAGGACAAGAGACACACAAACAAAAAAGAAAACGAAAATGTGCCAAAAAACACCAGGAGCAGCTCACAGCATCTTTACTCAGAAGGGAGCAGAAGCGTCTAAACGCCTGTGAAACTAATCTGGCCCAGAAAAACCTCCTGTCTGAAGACAACTATTAATGTCCTGGATTAGGTGACAAGGAAAAAAAAGCTGGACAGGTAACACAAAACAGAGGCAAGTGAGCAAAATGGATTTTAACAGATATAACACACATACGTCAGGTTTCACATTTAAGTTTATATTGCTGAACAAACAAATAATTTAAGATAAACTGCAGGACACATAAAATGGTAGTGAAAACATTTTTTTGTTTTTTAAAAAAAACGTAATTTTCTGGAAAAGTCTGTGGACTGTGTGAGGAAACCGGAGTACTTGTAGGAAACCTGTGTGATACAGGGAGAACATGCAAACACCACTCACTGGAGCGCAAGACCTTACTTAAGCAATATTAGTTTAACAACATGTATACACTTGTTTGTTGTTAGAATGTCAGGGTGGGTAGGTATCTAGATAACCTTCTTCCCACAGAAGTTTCTTTTCTCCTATAAATCGAATTGATTTGAATCAAATAGAATCCATTTGAATTGAATTGAGTTTAATTGAATTGAACTGAATTCTTACCATGTCTGGTATGCTCTGTGGTTCCTAGGACAGATTCCAGGCTCATTGTGACCCTCTTCTGAAAAAATACTAAAAGAAGATGGATATATGGATAAATACCTATTGTAAAAATTCCTAGTATAAGAATGGTTAAAAATGTTTAAAAAGAGAATTGTAAACCATATTAGTTGAAAACAATAGCTAAGTAACAAAGCAATATTAGCAGCTATGACTAATATTAAAAAGGTTGTCAGTAAATTTTGTAGAAGTCAGCACTATGAATTTCTATAGAATGTTCTATGGATTTGAGATGAACACCAAGAGCCTTTTTCCTTTTTCTGGAATTTCATTAGCATTGCAAACCATACACAGTATTACAAACACCCTGTGGTATATTTTGCTGCTCATTCAGTTTTCGGAGGATCTACCAACATCTTGTCACTGTTGCATTCAGTACCGACAGAGTGCAGCCTTTGAGACTCAAGGAAACTTACCTAGACCAAAAACAAGTGTGTCAAAATCTTTATAGTAGTAGTAGTGAATTTAGACAGCTATAAAAAGCAATGACAGATTCTGCAGTGCTTTAGGCTATAAGGAACCTATCATTTAGATTTATTTATGTTTTACAAGGCACTGCTTTTATGCTACAGGGCTTGTACTTTTTGTCTGTGCTGTTATCATATGGTGGCGTGCTCATGAAATATGTATTGCTGAGCCTGCTAGTCTATCCCATCAGATGAGCACAGAAAGGTAGCTACTTCCTTGGCTCCAGAAATGGTTGGCAAATAAAGTACTGAAAACAACTTCTGGGAGACCCGTCTTATCACTGAGATGGCAGGGTTGGGGGAAGGGTCAGAGTAGAGCTGATTTTTACCAAGAGCCTACAGCCCCCTCACAAGGCCCTTTGAGTAATTGTTTGCCTTCCCACGACTGAATACCAAAGAGGCCCAAAGGCACCAGAACAACCATATATCATTGAAGTGTTAGTTGTTTACATTCTCTCCATATATTGTATGTTGCATTTGATTCTATTTTTTTCTAGGCCAAGTCATAATGTCCATAATGTCAGTGCAGTGACCATATTACTATCACTGTGAAGCTTCTTCTGTAGCTGGATGACAAGCCACCTCTCAATCTATGCAATGACCCGAAGTGGAATTGTGACTAAGGATTTCTGGCCAAAGTGTCTCATGGCTGTGTAGCCACATTGAGGTCACTTAAACTGAGTCATCGCTCTTGAATCGCGGAAGGCCCACCTTCCTGTGGAGTTGCACAGCACTGGCCTTTTTGGTTTGCCACAGACCTCAGCCAGCTCATCTGCGTCTTTGAATCTTCTCAGTTTAGTCACATCATTCCATAAACAATCCACGTCCTTTGTGGTGTGGGCTGGGTTCTTGGAACTAAAGCGTCAGAAGGTTTCTGGTCAGCCTTTCCACAAGGCATGGATGAATTTCATTCTGAACTGATGGGACTGAATCTAACTTTCAATGGCTTTTGGCAGAGAGAAACATGGGACTCTCAAACTTGCAGTGGAGAGACTGCAGGCAGATTTATACAGAAGCCACATCCTGTAAGCGGCCAATCTCAGCCAAATGAGTCTAGAATTAGCTTCCTGTTGGACGGGAGACCACAAAAATAAGAATCAATTAACATGAGCTCTTTGTAATCTATTTGCTTCTCACTCTCATCACAAGCTTTTAACACATCAATTCAATTTAATTTCAATTTAATAAATTTTTATATAGTGCGTTTCATAACAGAGTCGCCCCAAGGCGCCTTACATTTGTGTGTTTTGATACATTATATATACAGAATAATTTAAAAACAGGGAAAAGGGAAGGCTGCAATGTGTTGGCCCCCCATCTTGGGTCGTTCCCCGCCTTGCACCCATAGCCTCTGGAATAGGCTCCGGACCCTGCCAGCGACCCTGACCAGGATAAGCGGTTCCAGAAAATGTATGGATGGATGGAAAAGGGAAGACAACAAAATGGAAGAAAGACAGACGGACAGCCAGATGACAACATAGCAAAGGAACCAAAAACTCCCAAACACGGAGAAAAAAACCTCTGGGGGTCAAAGGTCAGCTGGCTGCCCAACCCCCCTGAACACACTAACATTATAGAAAAACAAAGAGTGGGCTTGCTTGCTAAAAGCGAGGTATAAAAGGTGGTCAGAGTCCATCAATGAATCACGTCTTCATGCTGGCCTGTGTAGCGTGGCAGACTGAAGGCTGCACTACAATGTTACAATGTCGAATACATGATGTCACCCTTCCATGGCACTCAATCAGATGGCTTTGAAGCAAAAATCTCTGATAATGATTAAAATCCATTTATTTATACAATTTAATACTCAGATGAGGTACAGAAATTCCCTAGATTCCAAAAATGCCCACATGAATAAAGCAGGAAGTGAAGTCAGGGTCTTCAGAAACACTTCAGGAATCGGTCAAACACATGTCTGCATGTTCCTGCGTATGGAGCAGAGCAGAAAATGGCTGTTCTGATGTAGAGAGCCCTCGTGGTGAAGGGCTGGTAAGCCACAATATCCCAAAGTCTTGTACTGCGACCGCTGGCTCTGGATTCTATTACTAAGGATCTTTATTCAGAGCTGACAGGAGGAACGGATCTGTTAAAAGTATGATTTTAGTGCAATGTGAATGCTAAATGATGATTCTACATGTGTGGCCCATTGGATACAGCCAGTATTCATTCTGTTCTTTCAGACATTTTGACTTTTGACTGTCTGTCTAAGCAGGTCTGGTTTCATGCGTTCTCACACTCTGGGACTGAAACCAGAACATGAAGTCAATCAAAATAACCTGCAACAATAAATAGTTGATAGTCTATTCTATAATATTTATATACATGCTGATTTTCACAAATAATCACAAAATCTGTCAGCTCTGGTAATTTTCAAACTATGGTAAGATTAAGCTTGATGTATTGGGGGGGGCTTCAGGAACGCAGTTCAGTAACCCCATAGGCATTTAGCATTAGAGTGAAGATTTTATCTGGCAGAATGAAAACTGACACCGTCTTTAACAAACTCAATTTTCCAACAATTGGATCTTTGTTGTTATGTTTTCTGTGCTCTAGGGTAACAAAAATCCCCATACTGGGGCCGCCCATAACACCAGTCTGCTTGACCCCTCTGTTTTTCTAAATAACATGATTTTAACTGCAAGCCTTATGTTCAGTCAGGTGTTGCCTTATTACATTTTGTAAAGCAATGTGTCCCAACTTGGTACTCGGATATCCCCAGACGGTCAACGTTTTTGCTCCCTGCCAACTCCCTGCCAGACTGTCCACATTTTTGAGGGAGCAAAACTGTATACTGTCTTGGGGTCCCCGAGGACCAGTTTGAGACACACTTCTGTAATGGGCTTCTCCCAGCTTGCATGCAGTTTTAATTTTTTCACTAGATGGCATAGATGAGCGAAGTCCTTGTGAAAAGAAAATGCAAGTGTCTGAAACATTGTACTTGGAAAGACCGGCATCTTACTGAATAGCACTCATCTTGTTTAATGCACAACACTAAACTTATCAAACTAAATTTATTTGAAATGTTTTATTGCCTGGAGATAAACATATAAATATATAGTGAAAGCCAGCATAAATAAGATTTACATGATGCTGTGGCTGTTTCTCCACAGGGACATGGATTTAATCAGTTTAATGGCATGTCATACTCTTGTAGTCTGACAATGAACCAGAACTAAATAGAATCCAGCAGATCCTGAAAACCCACAAACTGTCTTTATTTTTTGCCAGGTGTTTTTTCTGCTGCTATCTGCAACACAGCAGAATTCCATGTATATCGGCTTAGCATAAACGCCAAACTGCTGTGTAGCCATAAAAGTACATTTGTGGGACATAATAAAGCAATCAATTTACACATTTTGCTATGATGAAACTACCAGGAAGCCATCTCACAAGATTATTGCGAGCACTGAGGTAAATTCTGTTTCGGTTTCTACAGAAAAAGACATCCAGAATGAATTTTCTGCATTTAGAACAGGAAGCTGTTACGGGAGCTCATGGCTAATGTGTGTTCCACTGCATAAATAGGCTCAGCCAGCGGAATTGCATTTCCTGTTTAGCAGCTTATTAAGATGCAGGCCGTTGCCTCGCTCTTGCCCATTTGGGTTCAGAAGAGTTTTTTTTATTGTCATTATGATCTGCACTTGGAGGATTTCTGTTTACTTAGCAGACAGAGTTTTAGGGAGCACTAGTCTCTTTGGGTTTATACTGCAGCACCAAGCCAACACCCCTACAAAAATCCTTCCCTCTAAACACTCCTAAGTTACTGCCCAAAAGTAAGTCAATACAGAACTTTATGTTACTGTGTCCAAGTAGTACATGTATTTGTATTTCTTACAAATTGTATTTGTATTTATCTTAGAAGCAATATAAATAACCTATGAATTAATAAATGGGCTTAGGAAATCCAAATAAATAAAAAAAAAACGATGCTTTTATAGATGGAGATAACATTTTGGGCCTGTCTTTGGAAAGGTTCTCTCTTCTCAACAACAATATAAACTGCAAAAACAGGAATGTTGCAGGTAATGTTACTACTATGGAGGGGATCTTTTGGAAGGTTTTGGCTCTCAATAAATGGCAATATGTGCTGTATTATTTACTAGATGTTTCAGTTATTGACTGGAATCTTTTAACTTACAGTGCAGAACAGTGCAGAGAGAATCTAGCTTACTGTAGGTACCTATCACATGAAATAAAACATGACTTTAAATATAGAACAAGGAGCAGCTCTGATTTAACTTATCCCAGGGCCAAATTAATTGGGTTACCTTGTATAGATCTTGCGAGATGAAAGAGCCTTCCTGTCCTTTTTTCTCCACGGCCAAGTGAACATGATGAAGACCATTCTATCTGCTCTCATAGGAGAAGATGTACAGCTTCTAAAATGCGACTTTAATCAAAGATTTAATGCCGGTGTCAACCGTAAAAGAAGAAGAGGGGAAGAAATGCATTTATAACAAAACAGGGTGGAAATCTAGTGCCACTTCTATACAGAAATAAAAATATATATGTCGAAAAAATAGGTGTGATGTATAATATGTTGCTCTGTTTCTCTGCCTTCATAATTTGTGGATTCATTCCGCTCTCTTAGGATAAACTGTTCAAGTTGCTTCTAAAATGGCATATTAGATGCACTGATATATTCATACATTCAAAGAAGGCATTAAGTATTAAGAGAAATCCTGTGTCGTCAACAGGAATTTTTCCTTCCTTACGTTATGCTTGCTAACAACCGACTATTTTTGTCATTAGCATGAAGATCTCTTACATATAAAATCTTTCCTGTATTGTATTATTTATATAAAAGTGACCCCCCCCCCTTTATACATTTGTGTTCTATTCTTCAAACTAAGTGCCCAACAGTGCATGGTGTTACAAAAAGAAAAAAAAAATCATTAGAGAAAGGTACCAGCAATTGTAATGAAAAATCAGTATGTTAAGGGCAAGACCACTACTTAAAAGTACACACAGAGTTATACAGAGTGCCAAGAACTCACCACGGTGCTTTAAAAATAAAAAAGTAAATGATCCAGTCAAAGTGAACTTCTAACAACTTCTTAGACTTCCTTTAAAAGATCATGGGAATGCGTTTAGATGCCCAGACATCTGTGGAGAAGAGTCATAATCAGAAACATATGGCTGGGAGACAGAGACAGGAAAGTTGTAGGCATACTTCATGAGAGCCAATCACTGACGTGCAACATTGACCT